GTTTGAAGAGAGTCATGGTGCTCCCCTGCTCTGGGAGGTTGCACTCGAGGAAAATCGATCCCCTCCCTTCAGAGAAAGAAATTTATGAAGCTGGAACATAAACGCAGTCATGTCCAATTAGCTGCTCTGAATTTACGAGGCGAGGCGGGAAAGGGAAGTGGGAGGGAACACGGCAATAAAGACTTCAGCAGAAGCCAATAGGGTGAAATGTTGCTGATCAATGATCCCGGCTTCACACAAGTCTCACTCCTTGCTTAGCCACTTCAAGCTGCACTCAGGATATGGTGTGGTGGAGAGCACAGCCCCGGGTTACTTTTCTCACATTGACTCAATCAGAATATAGTATATAAAAAAAAGAATCCTGCTCCAGGTGTTAAACTGAGATGTAATGTGAGCAAAGAGAAACTTTCCCCATTCAGCCAAAGAATGTAAAAACTGTCGTGTAGTATCAAACTTCAGCAAAGGCCAAACACTGTGAAGTAACAATAAGCAAATTTGAGTGGAAGGGGACTATGTATATTTATACAACCGACCTAAGATTGAATATGAAAAATAATCTGTCCACTGCAAAGTGCAACATCAAAACTTGAGTTAAATAACAATTAGATTAATATTATAAAAGTAGGATTAGCGATTGTATTTGAATGTATTATATTGGAATTTTCTGTCCATCTTCCTGCTACTTTATGAAATTATTTTATAATTCAAAATAGAAAATAGCCTATACTTTTCAGGTAATACAGGATTACACTTTTGAATCAGCATAATGAGTGTTGTTAATTAAAGAATCTGGCAGCTCATTATTTATTTTTTTTTTTGGTTTCCCAACAAAATACCAAACCTAAGTTCATATTGAGATTGGACAGTAGCAGCTACACTTTGCCTTTTTTTAAGGTTATGTCTCTAATTCAAGTTCACAGTGACTTGATGCATAAGACCCAACATGTTTTTTAACACTTAAATCTTTTCCTAACCTCAATCAAAGTGCTTTAAATGCAAACACCTTTCTCTCTCTGACGATTATCGCCCATTAGCCTTTTGTCATTTCAAGGCAGGGAGTTGTTGCAAGTGCCGAGCGGGCCTCCTCAGTGATGGCTGATCGAACACAGAGTAAAGAGGAGAGAGATCTCCTGTTGGGTCAGAGACCGCATTGACACATTCTGTCCTCACAGGTTAGAGCACGTCAACATGGACTCTCCTCCAGCTCCTCCTCCGAGTCTCACTGCTTTAGTGTGGGAAGCAGACGAACTGTCAGGGCTTTGATACAACTGCCCTACTCCCTGCTGTCCTGACTGCTCTGTCCTTCGCATCATTTATACCCCCCATATTTTTTTCCTCTACCCACTCCTCTCAAACACATGTCCACAATCCAATTTACTCAATGCACTCCTCAGTGAACACTGACGCAATGGGAAGGAGCAAAACAACTAAAGGGGTAAAGCTGCAGAGACAGAAGGGAAAAGTGAGAAGGAAGAGAGAGGAAGGACAAAATGGAAAACCAGAGGGAATACTGGAGGCCGGAATTTTGGAGAAAAAGATTTAAAAAAATAGAGTAGGAGGAGAACACAAAAGAGAAAATAGAGATGGAGTGATAGCTGTGTCCCCTGAGAGGAATAGGCATTGGCTACAGTAAAGAGGCAAATAAAGCCCCATTAACTGCTGCTTCCAGCTGCTTTCTCAGGTTCTGCCACCACATGACTCCCCCTTGATGTTTGTTTATCTTTCTTCTTATTTATTCCCCTAATTGCTGTGCCTCTGCTGTCTAAAACAGGCAGTCTTCATACAATTAAAAACACTGGCCGACATGACTTCACAGAGACAGACTGCGAGGCGAATGGACAGAGGAAGACACAGCCAGACAAGCCTGGACAGAGATGCAGACTGACAGTCATTGTATCTGTGTGGTAGATAATTACCACAGATCTCTGGTTAGATGCAAAACAGTGTGATCATGCAGATACACATGATGCATGTCTGCTGTATGTTGATCTTACACTACATGTACTGGATCTGTTTCCAAAAAAGATGTTTATATCCTGGTTTATCTTTATGTGCTTTGAAGGAAATATGCTCTCTCGATTATGTTCATTGGCAACATTTCTTCTATCCTCAAAGTGAACAACTCAGAAATCATAGCAAGGTGGTAGAGATGGTGGATGCTAGACGTACATAGCACATAATAATAGAAGAATGGAACGATCACTTATTGATGTTAGCAGCTGATTCTTCTTCTTTAAAAAAAAAAAAGATTCCTATAATAAAACTACATTATTGAATGCATGGTCAGGGACCACCTTCAATGCCTTAGCGGACCACCAGGGGGCCGTGGACCACTGGTTGAAACACCCTGATATATTTCAAACCATTGCTGTATGGTATTACAAGAATTTACCTGAGTACATTTAAGGCAACATAGCAACACACAGATAAAAATACTGACCCATAATTGCACCAGCTAATTCAAACAACATGTGATTTCTGTGCATTTGCGTCCCTTACTTCCTTCCGTTCCCGGACACCAACTTGCCCTGCTTTCTCCTCCACTCACCTTTTCTCATTTCATTGTGATGGATCCAGCCATCCCGTCTTAACCTTCCCTCAGCTCAGAGCTGCTACTCCCACTTTGATAACTTTGCAGTGAAGGCAGACATCTTGCACATTAACACATGATTGTGCCCATGCATTATTTGTGTGTGCAGGGACTTACTAGAAGGATCAGGAGAAATCCCATTGCAAGCTGTCATCCGTAAGAGAGAGAGCGCAAACGAGACAGCACTTGAAAAGTCAGAGTGTCATGTCATTCATGCGGAAGGAGTGCAAGGCTAGAAATACTCTAGATTTTCCTGGGCTGTAATATGTGGCAGAAAAGCAGGTCAAGGAGATGAAGTGGAAACTAAGTTTCATCTTGCAAGACTGGGTGATTCAAAATTTTGATTTCATAATTGAACTAGCAAACGATTCATTAATTCCACTTGACGTCAGGGTATGTCAGCAGTCCAGATATTTGATAAGAGGGAGGCCATTTTCTTTAGCCATTAGGTCTGCAAGACACAAACTGCACACCAGCATGTCTAGAAAATCACTCTGCTCTTCAGTATTGATTTTAAACTACAACTTCTAGATCCTGCACTCAGCAGTGCTTCCACTTTTGAGATGAGACAGATGAGATTTATCACAGAAGATGCAGGAGATGAGAAGCAGTGATAGGTTTGGCACTGTCAGTCACCCAACGCAGCATTAGTCACCGCGCCTCTGCTTCTCTGATCTGTTGTCCACTCTCAGACAAATGCATCACAACTGCACGGAGTATAAACACATGCACACCTGTCTCACTTCGCACACATTTGCACTCTCTCGCTTATGCACACACTACTTTCTCCATGAAAGAGAGATGTTCAATTTCCCTCTTTGCTAAGTGGACAGCTCGTGCCCTTCAGAAAAGGATGCAGGAAACGAGTCCTTGTCGGTGGATGGATTCTCCCTGGCACGTCCTGTCAATTCATTCAAGTGATCAGAGAGAAGCATGGGCAATTTATAGGACGGAGCAACAATACAATGGGAGACAGCTCACCATGATCGAATGTCTCCATTTTGGTCCTGGATTACTGTGTATTTTCTAGGTTATAGTCGTAGTTATTCTGTAAGTAATGTTGTGAAACTAGGCTTAAGGTTGATAGGCTGATGACCCCCCCCTACCAAAAAAAACGATAAGAAAGCATAGATTAGTGAGAAAGGAAGATTGAAGTAGTCATCTTGCCAGAATACAGGGGGCATTCTTTGAATATTTGATGCAGACCGATGGCTGTTCACTCCAGTGGAACAAACTGGATTGGAGTCCAGTCACTCACCTGGAAAAGGCTGTAATTTAAAGTGGTAACTGGCCAGTGTCCTTAAGAGTCTCATTTCCTTTCCTGCAGAAGTTCAGCCTCTGGATCAGCCCACCTGGGCCCTGCCCTCTGCGAGGTCACGTGCATGAACGCACATTCATGCAAACACATGCATTAGTCAGTAATTATAAAAATCAACATTCATCATGTTTTATGAAAATGAATGCTCTTTTTATCAAATTAATGTTACAGTGGAAAGATCAATTACTTAATTTTCATAAGAAACCATTAATTATCAGCAAACTGTGAAAATGCCCAATCAAATAAACAATCAAAAAGGCTGCTGATTAATTATCTGCCAACTGAGCATTCCAACTCAACATTCAGTCAAGCAGGACTTGTGTCTTTCGCAAGTCTTTTCACATTGTAGAAACAGTTTGATTCATTTACTCAGTTCGGGTGTAGAGCGTAAAGCTGGAATCAAATGGCACAAAATCAGATGACCTGGCAAGTGTACAAACTGCACGAGTATCAAAATAGAAGTGGGTGCTGTAGCTTTGCCAGTCACTTATGAGAGAAAAATGGCATTTAACATAGTAAACTTAACAGAGATTTGTCTTTAATTGGCTAAAAATACATTTATATCATCTTGAGGGCATCTCGTGGCATATTTCAGAGTGTTTCAACTCACATTTCAGCTTTCTGCTACAATTTAATGATGCACGTATACGAGTGTACGCCCATAACACCCACACAGGAATAAAGCCAATTTCCTATAATTACAAGTTTTTCTTACTTTTTGTCAAATATAGAGAATATTTCACAGTATGTGCTCAGTAAACCACAAGCTCCATACACTGCAGGCTTTGTAGGCCATAATCCTATAACCTTACTCTGGTTTTATGTTTTACATTTACTACCATAATACCGTTCACTCAGGAGAGGTGTGTTCTGTCTCATTGTCAGACTTTTTCTTATTGTAAAAATACTCCCATAATATCCAGCATCATTAACACATCAGATAGAGCCAATGTGTGATTACAACTTTCACTTGCTGCTTTATGTGACTCAGCAGGGTGCGTTCACTCTCACTCTCCTTCTCACACACACACACACACACACACACTCACACACTCATCTCATGTGTGTCAACTGCCTCTTCTCTCTTTTCAGGTGCAAGTGTAACCTCCATGCCTCCCAGTGCCTGCTGCAGGATGGGAACCTCCAGTGTCAGTGCGAACACAACACCACTGGCCAGGACTGCCAGCGCTGCAAAAAAGGCTTCAAAGCCAAGTCCTGGAAGGCTGGTTCCTACCTGCCAGCACCCAATGGAACCCCCAACATCTGTGCGTACCCAGAATATGTTTCTCTTCCTACTGCATTCACTGAACTCTTCAATCTGACACAGTAACAGAGTAGATACAAATCTGCTGACTCTTTTCATGTGCTTCATCTGAGGATTGCTTTACTGTATTATATATGGTTACGGTTATTAAATGATCTAAGTTACAGCACTTACACATGATGCAATACAAATACAAGGGCATGTCCCAGGATGGGCCTATACAGTGGCCAGTGAAATTCCCATGGCCACTGTGATTTTGTTGGAGTCGTGTTTCTGGCCACTTGATGCCTTGGAGCTCTGATTTGGTCTCCATAAACTCGTGAGGGAAACATCTTCAGCTGCTAAATGCTTCACTATGTTAACCAGCTTTGACTGTCTGGTGTTTGGTGCTAACAGGCAGTGTACAGTAGGTTTTTAAAGCTTTTTCACTAAAACAGAATCAAAGCAATGCTGATGAGAGCAGACAGATAAAACACTCTATAGAGCTGCAGAGTGCTAAGTCTCTGTGGCGAAGCCCGACTCATTTTATATTAACTGACGTTATGCTGCTGTTGGATTATTGATTACTCCAGTACCCTGGTGTCCAGTGCCTTATTAGTTTGCAAACTAGAGAGTAAAGAAAAGGAATAAATTTTACTTTGGTTCCTCTGTGGGCCAGTGAACTGGTCCAGTAAACTGGTCTAAGGAAAATACAGTATGTGCTTTTGGAAACTGGAGCAAACTACTTACATTTTACACTTTTCATTCTGTGGCATTAACGCAGACACTTCTTCATCAGAGGTCAGAAATTAAGTCAGGGTGAAGTTCAATCAGAGGATCAAGACATTTCATTTTCTTTCTCTTGAAATCAAACTCTATTAAATTATTTTAAGTTACATTCCCCAGCATTTTTGATGTATAGGTTCCCTCATTACTCTGTGGCCCTGAATGAAAAGCAGGATCAAGGGAGCGAGTTGAAAAGAAGAAGACGAGGGAGAAGCTGAGCTCACCTCAGTGCAGAGAGCAGATCAGAGCTGTGTAACGATGTGGGGAAATCCTCTTGGAGAGTATAGCCAGCTACAGCAGCCAGCTACGATAAAATAATTATCTAGGGCAGCCCCTCCCTGGCTTTCTCCTTTAAAACAAACAGATACTCTCATATGCACAGAAAGGGACACACACACACACACAGAAACATAGGCAGCTACACACACATATGCTTGTACCTGCACACACACTGCAGTGAATGGCTCTATTGTCAGTCCCTTTTTATCATGCTGTTACTGACCCAGTTCTAATACCGACATACACCTTCAGATCTCATCACCACCCTTTTAAACTCCTGAATCCCACGAGTGGAATTTGAAAATTAAAATGTTTACAACTTGCTTGGTTGAAATACCCACAAAATGGCCATAGCTCATGGCCCAAGGACCAGTACAGTCTCTACAGCCTTATTGTGCATGGCAAGCTGACTATAAAAACAATCTGGGAGAATGTGCAAGAAAGGCTAAAAGTTTTGATTCAAGCATAGCAAAGTGGTGCTGCACTCCTAAAACACACATATATGGTAGGACCTCCGAATCTAAGGGCTTTGGAAGGAGTAACAGGTTAAATTATGGATGATGGGAGATGCAGTGCAGACACAGTAATTACTGCAGTAATCACTCCAGGACATTGAGAGGTGGTCTACAATGAGCCCTCATTTTGCAGAACAGCTCTTAAGCTCCCTCTGCCACCTGAGTCTGATGAATGAGGCACAGTCAAGTCTTTAAGCAAATTGAATGCATAAATAAACAAGTTCTCATCATCTCCTCTTCCTTTTCTTATTCTCTTTCAGGTACAATTGCTGGTTCCCCCTCCGGTTCTAGTAAGTAACAATGCAAAGGAGAAGAAGTGCTTTTCCACAAACTCTTTCTGCCTTGTGTCTCTCCCTTCTGTTACGTTGTTTTTGAAATTTAAGCTTTAACCCCATATCTGTCCTTCCTTACATCCCCTAAACTCCCCCTCTCTCCACTATGTTTAGCTGACTCTCTAGTCAGCCGTCTTTCTCTTCCTGTATCTCCTCTCTCAGTGCTACAGCTTGGCCCCTGTGTGCTTCATTATTAATAGGCCTCTCTGTCGCCATGTTCCTTCATCACAGCACATCACACTAACCTGCACAGGAGGAATTCTTCCACAGTTGTCCTTCTCTTCTTTAGACTAAAGACAGTGGTGTTGACGAACTTCGGAAGGGAGGGATGGCCAAGGGTTGTGTGAGAACAAGTGGTGGACAGAGCAGCAAAGCTGAGCTGAGACAGACAGAGAGAGAAATGAGAGAGAAGGATGTGAGCATATGTTAGTGTGTTGTAATTCAGTGGGATTCCAGGTGAGGAGCTTGGGGAGACAAGAATAAAAGGGAATTTGATTAGGGATTCTCTCTGTGGAGGGGCTCTCAGCCTCCAAGCTGTTAGACAGAAACAATCGGCAAAGTAGCAACATCAGCCCTGACAGCATTGGGCTTTTCTCCACATGGCCCAGCAGTAAAAGGCTGACGCATGGATAGACTGAGCAAGTGGACTGCACTGCAGAAGCCTAATTCTCACAAGGGCTCTCTCGCACTTAGACACAACGGTGCTGTTTTCTGGGGAAAAAAAATGCATATAGGATTTATCAGCGAAAGGAAAGATGATTACAGCTTAGTGGATAGGTTTCAGGTTCCCACAGATGGTTTGTTTGTTAGACAAGAGCTCTACATCTGTTGCTAATTAGCCACAACTATCTCTTACTGCCCCCGAAGATGAAGGTGAGTCAGAGGGTGAGCCTGAAGGTGAAACTCGGGGTGGACTCGAAGGCAAAGCAGAGTGTGCCACGGGCACAGAAGCTGAATGGTCCTTGGCTGTTACTTATGAGCCCTTTGGAGCCTCCAGTGAAGGTGAGGAATAGATTTAGATTAGTCATAACCAAAGGTAGAATGTACTGCAGCTACATGCATCCACTCAGTACTGTACAGTCTTCAGGAACCCCCTTAACTACACTTCTGAGGGAAAAGTTGTCCATCACAATTGTCATCAAATGCATTTATTTGATAGCTGCAGTAACTTTTTACTGTATTTTTTATCAACATGAGCAGATTCTGCCCATCTCCATCTTACCAAGGTCATTTTTTGTCTGCAACCAAGCCTTAAGATTTTTCCCCCTATTCTTTCTTAATGATTCATGCTCATTTCTAGAATATCCCTAAAACAATAGTGTTGTTTGCTTTCTTCCTAAGGGTTAGATGAGAAGATCAATACTACTTTCACGCTTGTCTGTCAAATTAAAAGCTACCACCAGCAGCTGTTTGGCTTAACTTAGCACCAAGACTGAAAACGGGTGAGACAGTTAGTCAGACACTGTACCAAGGCAACAAAACAGACCTACAAGATCTACAGTATAGTGTGGATGTAGTATACACTTGGGAAAAAGTTGTAAGCCTGTGGATGTGCGTACAAATGCTGACAACATGTGTTGTGTCTCTGCATTTATATGTAATTAACCCTGCGACTTACTGGAGGTCTTAAAGATGTATGTTGGCTGTTTTCTGTCTCTGACATTCAAGTCAATGTAGCTTGTCTTCACAGTATAGGTGTCAAACTATATGGACATTCAGACTCTGTTCTGACTGATTTCAAGCAACCCAGGATGGATGTGAACAGATTCTACCAGCTGCTGAATGTACAGTAAAGTGGATTTCAGACCCTGGCTGGCCCTCATGCCTTATTTAAACCACCCATCTTGGTAGGCAGCGGACCTCCCCCGGTCCACCTGAAAAGCACTCAGGACAGGGAGGAGCGGGGATTCTGGCAACGGTGTGTTGCTGCCTGTAGGAAATCCATTAAGTGCATGCATTGAACAGCACAGCAATTTGTTGTTTGGCTGACATCAGTAGGGAACTCAAAGAATTCACTGACTGGTTGTGATTTAGGAGCGGCTGACAGATGCTTCATTGTTGTATAAACAGAGGCACAGCCTTTGTTTGCATTTTCAAATGTCTTGTTTTGACTAACCAACAGTCCAAAAGTCAAAGATATAATTGCAAAAATGTCAAATGCTTGCCATCTCAAATATGAGAATCGGATGTTTTTCTTTTAGTTGAAGCTTTAATTGATAAGGAAAATGACCATTAGTTGAAACCCAAAACTATTTTAAGAAAAGAACAGTAAAAACCAAATCATTTACCAGTAAAAACAATGATTATCAAACTTGCTAATCATTGCATATTTAATGTGTTATTCAGATATTCACTGTGGTTTATTTTGTTTGGGGAAAACTTTTCACTACAGCTCATAAAAAATTCATACAATTAATTTTCCTAATTTTCAATATAGAGGATTAAAAGGTCATTACAGAATAAACAACTGCTCAGCTGCACTTCAGGGACACCAAAACTGTTGTAGAGTTGTGTTCCTGCCAGTTAACTCAGGTTTACAGTAGTGGATTTGGCTTGAACCTGACCCTGACGTTAGCAAAACTGCACATGTAGATTTATGGTGGGCATATGGTGCAGTTCAGTGAAAGTCATAAATCATCTTCAGGGCCTCCTTGTCCTCCCAGTGATCTGAGGTCTTAGGTTCCATTCTCCCAGAGTGCCCGCCGCTCCTCCATGTACATGAACACACTGGTGCGCATGCACACACACACACAGGCTTAATTTTATTCTGAGACTGAAAGTGCTGTGGCATTAATAAATGGATAATGTAACTAAATTAGTTATCTTAAAAACTGCAACCTGTAAGTTTTCTTCTGTGACTCAGCTTCATTCAAAGCCTGCATGTTAGTTTAAAATATTGGTAGCAGTAATGTGTGTACATAAATACTTGAATATCTGAGTAGAAGTGTGTTAAAGCAGCCTGGGATTTTATTTTTCCAATTTTCATCCACATAAAAGTTGGTTATATAAATCATGTTTTCAGCACCTTTTCCAGGAATTTGAAAAAGCAAATCCCAGTAGGTATTTTATTGTGTGATTTACCATTAAGATCAGTGATAAGTTTATGAATGTTACCCAAGCACCTGCTACTTTATAAACATTACACAACACAGTATTTTTGAGTTGGACACCATGTCATAGTAGTTCCAGCCTTTGCCAAGTCCCTGCCCCAGTTAAGTCGGTGAGCATGCTCAGATGAGGATTAGTGATCTATTGGCAAAGGAGTCTGAGCCACAGAACCCATAGCCCATTGGTCAGCTTGACAGATGGGTATCTGTTGAAGGGGGAGAGAAGGTCAGAAAAACCAAATCCTAAAACCCAGTCATACAACTATCTATCTAGCCACCATGACCCTGCTTCATCTTTTCATTTAGATCCTAGTGTCACAGAAGAGGCTTAATACACCACTAGCAGACAGTCGCATACCAAGAACACACAGTGGACAGACAAGTGTATGCAAACTCACACACACTGGTGATGTACTACGCTCAATCAACACAGTCCTGCCTGTGCACCGCCATCATCT